AACCACCACAGTCGCTTTGCTACTATTTTGTCTAGGACTTTTGATAGACACGAGTTTAGTGATATTGGTCGGTAGGAGTTTAGTGCGGTTTTGTCTGTGTTGGGTTTTGATATTGGAATTATTATACTATTCTTGTAGGCTTGGGGGATGTAATTGTTTAGTATAGAGTTTTGGAGGTTGATTATACGGTATTTTGTTTTCCTGTCCAGATTTTTTATCATGGCGTAGTTTATTCTGTCTATACCGAGTGTGTTACCTTTTAATGTGTTTAAAGCTGACGTAAATTCGACTAGTGTTATTTCATTTTCTATTACTGTAGCCCTTTTGCTGGGGGTATATGTGTAATTGAGTAGGTTGTTCAGTGATGCTTGTTTTGTATTTATAAAGGTCATGGAGAAATTGTGGTCGGATGATGAGTTTGAGAAGTTTTTGCAGAAGAGTTCTGCTATTTCTGCTTTGTTGGTGGTATTTTGGTTAGTTACTGGGTTAAGGATGCAATGGATGTGTTTTTGGGTGTTTAGGCCGCAAAAGCGTCTGATATTACTCCAAATTGACTTTGGAGGTGTGTCGGGTGCTATTTGTGTCGTGAATTTCAGGATACTATGTTTTTTAGCTTCTCTTAGGGTTCTTCTAAATTTGGCATTCGCACGTTTAAATTGAATGATGTTCTGGGTACAGATGTTTCTTTTCAGTGTGCCATTTCTTGACTTTGTCGTCTCTAAGTTTTTGTAGATTGTTGTTCCACCAAGGTACATTATACGGTTTGGACGTAGGGTGTGTCTGAGGGATTGTTTTGTGTGCACTGGATATAATTATTTTTTGTATTGTGGCTGTTTCTTTGTTTATGTTAGTGCTTGGCTTTAGTTGTGATGAGTATTCTTCTGCGAGTTCTGAAAATCGTTCCCAATTTGCTTTATCAGTGATGAAGATGGGTTTGGAGGATGTGTGTTGTGTTCTTGTTGGATACGAGTCAAAGAGGTTAATTATGATAGGGAAGTGGTCGCTACCGAAGAGATCGTTTTCTGTGTACCATGTGCTGTCAAGTTGTAAAATTGGACTACTAAAGGTTATGTCGATATTTGTTAGTGTGTTGTGGGTGCTAAGGTGTGTTGGTGAACCGTCATTTAGTAGGATGTAGTTTGATTGAGTTATGAATTTGTCGAGTATTTTGCCCCTATGATTATTAATGTTTGAGCCCCAGTTTTTATGCCAACTATTAAAGTCGCCAGTGACTAGCACGGGTATGTTTGAGGTTTCTAAAACATTTTGGAGATTGTTCATAGAAAATCTCCTGTTTGGTGCTATGTAGGCTGAAATTACTCTAAATTTGAGGTTTGACTTGAGCTCTGCACATACTACATCGAAGCCACCGTTCAGACAGATTTCTCGAGTTTGTAGGGAATTATGTATCAGTAGAGCTACGCCCCCATGGGAAGGTGAACTGTTTTTTGTTATTAAGGTGTAGTTGTTTGGTATAGGTATGGATTTGGGGTGTATTATGTGTGTTTCTTGTAGAGATAGAATAAGGGGCGTGTGTTTTTCAATTAATGTTTGTAGTTCGCTGTAATTATTTGTGTAGCCGTTTATGTTCCATTGGATAATCTTAAAGGTCATTTTGTTTTATTTAAGTTTAAAGAGAGGAATGTGAGAGTATTGTGAGTCTATTTTGTAATAATTACCGCGTGTGTGGCCGTTGTAATTTGAAGTGTTAAATACTGTCGCTGTCGTTGTTGTCTTTGTGTTTTGCTTTTTTTGAGGTTTTTGCACTTGTTAGGTTGGATTTTGTGGGTTTGAGGTTTGTTGAAAGGGTATTATTTTTTTCTTTAGGGAATATTCTTAATTTTAGGTCGTTTGTTTTTTCGCTTGCTAGTTTTTGTGAGTTGGCGAGGTCGTCTACGTCCATTTCCATGTCTTCTTTGCGTTGGTGCTGGTGCGATGTGCTTATCCTTGAGGTCCTTGGGTGCTCTGATAATAGGTCGTGGTAAGATATGGGTTGGGGCGTGGTGTTCGTTTGCTGGGCTGATGATAGTTTTTTGGAATGGGTCGGTGTTGATGTTGTCGTAACTGTATTTGTTTTTGGTATTGTTGAGTGAGCGTCTTGATTTGTTGCAGCTTTGGTCAATGTTGATGCGTAGCTGTTGCTAAGTTGCGGGTTATGGCGAGAGTGGTAAATTGATAAAACTGTTTTGTGGTCCACTTTCTCTGTAGTTTTGATTGCTACCAGTTCTTGTTGTTTTAAGAATGTTGGACAATTGCGGTCAAGTGGGCTGTGTTTGGGGTCGACTTCGGAGTTGTTTATGCAGTTTAGGCAGCACTTCTCGTTGGTGCATGTCTCATTTTCAGTGGTGTGTGTAGTTTGAGAGCAGTTTTTGTATGTATCTTCTGTACTTTTGCAGATCAGTGTTGGATGTCCAAATCGTAGGCATTTTCTGCATCTCAGAGGTAGAGGAATGTACGGGCGAACTCTTGTGCTTTCATATCCAATTTTTATTGCTTCTGGAAGGTTGTGTGTGGCAAATGTAACGATTAGTCCCGTTTCAGTCATGCCTTGGTCTTGCTTTTTAAATATTTTTCGCACTTCGGTTACGCTTTGAGGTTTAAGCTCATCTAGTATTTCTGCTTCCTCTATGTTTCGTAATTCGTTGCAGTAGATTTCTCCCTTAGAAAAATTTAGTGCCTTGTGTTCAGCGGCTTCAACTTCGATATCGGCCATATTTTTTATTTTTAGTAATTTCATTGTTGGTAAGGTATTTTTTGTTTTGATTAGTAAGGTGCCGGCGCGAGTTTTTTTGCATAAGTCGACTTCTCCTCCACATGTGTAGTCTATTGTTTTTTTAATTAGAAACGGGGATACATTTTCAAAGGATTTATTGTCTTTTCTGTTAATTACAATGTATTTTGGATTGTTTAGGTTTTGATATTTGGTGTAGATTGATTTTGTTGTTGTGTTTATGTCGGGCGGCTTGAGCATTGTTGTTGTTTTTCTCGGGCTTAGGCCCCGCGCTTTGGTTTGTGACTCTTGCAGTTGTTATTTATTTTCGTATTCTGTTGTGTGCACTTGTTTGTTTGTCTGATCTAATTGATAAGAGTTTTTGTAATGCTTTTTGGGCACCGCAGAAACCCAGAAGTAACACGTCTTATCTCGATGAGGGTTTGAGTGAAACTGATTTTAATTCATACTTTTATTCAAATGTGGGGGGATATTGTTCAATATAAATTTTAAAATATAGTTTTATAACTATTTGTTATAATTTTCTTTTTTTATTAATTCATTTATTTAAATTTTTCATTTATTTTTTCTTCATTATACCCTGAACCCATTGAAAATGGGAAATCAGGGTATAATGGTTTTGT